AGTTCCTCAGGGGTATCTGCCTCCACTTAATAACATTCAGTGTATAATCTACTACCAGTAATGTGAGAAAGACCTAGTGGGAAATTTTATCTTCCCACCAGAAGTGCACTTGTGCTCTGTGTGTACACATTCCCTATTTAAGCCTTCATTTAACCACCAAGGCAAAAATACTTCTTGATTCCCACATAAAGTGCCCCAGGGAATTGTCACTGGAAGAGTACCACTTTAGATCTGTCAGAGAGAGACATTTTATTACCTGAAGGATGCTATCTTAACCCAAGGTCTAAAATATAAATGAACTGCAATTCAGATGACTTGAGACCTAGCAGAAAGACAGAAAGGTGGAAAGCTTCCCAGGGATTCCACAGGGAGAAGGCTGATTTATTTAATACAGATAAATATGACAAAAAGATATTAATATCCCAACTTTTAATAAGTTTATGCTTGACAGGAAGAACAGAAGTCTAGAGCAGCAGCTAATATAATATGTTAACTAATAGAGTTGGTGGAAGAAAAAAGAAGCTTCAAGCAGATGAATTCAAGTGAAAGGCAGAAAATTTTGGGTACTGAAAAATTTTCTGTTTCTTCTGGGCTGAAGGAGATTATGTCCTTTTTGCAATGACTTATCATCTGTACTGTAAAGTACAGTCCCAGAGATCTTCATAGACCATCTAATATTTAAGTAGAGCAGAGAATGCTTACATATGAAAGGTCAAAACTGCCTATGAAAAGATGGGTGAGAAAATAAACAGAGGATAAATCAAGAGATTATTTTAGAATCTGCCATCATGAAAACGCTGCCTTTTCTCAAGAGGCAGAGAACATTCTATTCTATATTGAAACAGGGATTTGAGGTTTGCTTTAAAAACGCATTGAAAAGCCATTAGATGATGCCTCTGGAGTGTTGTTTTGAAGGTTACTATTGTTTCTTTGAGCAAAGTAATACTCTCTGTGTTTTTTAATGTTACCCATTTTTTCCCATGTTGAAAGCTTCAGAAAACTTTGGCTTCATTAGGAAGGAATTTGGGTTAAGTTGCTGAAGCAGGTAGATAAAACTAAGTGGAAGAAAAGGAGGTAGCTGGGACACAGGCTGTGGCTTAACCCTGCACTGAACTGCATTTGCATATGGCTTTGGGAAAGTTCCATTAAAAGTTTTTATAGCCAGGAGACACTTGGGAGTATGACATTTTCCAGTTGCTTATTTTTCTGTACTCAAGAAGACATTAGCTTGTTGAAGTTTATAAATAAAAACAACTTCATCAACAACTTATTCTAATTGCCAGATTACGAAGACTGAGTAGGCTCTTAGTATGTATTCAAACTAAATTACTTTTGAACTGCAGCAGAATATCAGGATCCTTTAATATGCAAAACTACAATGGAAATCTGCTTTCAAAATGTTCCAAAAAACAAGATCACATCTTTCTTCCATCTTGTCAGCCTAGCATTACTTCCATCAATCCCTTGTGTCAATTTCTAGAAAGTTTGCTTGAATCTCATAATGACAAAACCAAGAATTTAGTCCAAAACTATACAGAGCAGTAAAGATAAATCTCTTGACTGTTTTCTGAGATTCTTTCCTATTATTAATCCCATGCTGGGGCATACACAATTGTAAAGATATTAATCAAAGTTTACTTTGCAGAGAAAAAGTCAATAGGATGTTTAACTCTTGATTTATACACAAGCTTTAAGTATTTCACCTGTGTAATTCTGCACAGTCAGTAGCTTATTTCTTCTAATTAAATCTTTATTTCAGCTCTCAGTGGGCCTGATTTTCCTCTTACTAACAGCAAGTTTATTAATATAACTCTCATCAATCAAATGGTGGTAGCATTTTAATGAGATTAATGTAAGAAAAAAGCAAAATCAAAGTTATTGACTTTGCACAAGAGTTTTGCCAGTCTGTTCACAGCTAAGCAGTGCTTACTGGATGCTTAACAGAATGCTGGGCAAGGCATACATTTTTTACTGTTTAGAAACCTGTTTTGAAAGTACAATTTACAAGATGATGAAAAAAAGAAAATAATTTGCTCAGGAAGAAAATCAGGCAGTAAGTCTAACTACGAGGGCTAATCATCTTTGTCCTTCTCATGTGTAATACAAACTGAAAGTTCATGTGCATCTGAATGTAAAAGACTCTGTTACACTCAGCATTTTGTTATGGGCATCAGAGTACACTTTACTAACACAGTAAAACATTTATTACTGTTTTTTACCAGCTCTTTATTGCCTCTAGCATTTACCTCTCTGAAGCCCAGGACAGGTCATGGACTAATCATTCCATCACTCTTAAAAAACTTACAGACAGGTCAATTAAAATCTGAAATTCTGGTTTGCCAGGTCAACACAAAAGTCAGTTGCTTTTTAGCTTTAACACAAAGATCATACATACTATATACTGCAATATTTATATCCATCCCCAATTGTTTTCAGCCCATGTAAACTAAATATAAATGTTCATAATTGGATAGATGTAGTTATCCGATGTATAGAGTTGAGGTTATGGTTTGAAAGTGACTCAAGGTATGAAAGGAACAGCAAGGTAAACATATATATATATATATATATATATATATATATAACCTAACCAAAGAAGAAAATAAAATGTATTTTGCCAAAACCAGAAGTGATCTATAGAAAATTTTCTAGAAACTTCTGATGCAAATATAAACTGTGGTTTCTTTAAAAAACCAGTAACAACAGAATGAGAGAGGTAACTAAAGCATGACAGACAGTAGGAATGTCTCATACTAAAGATAAGTTTGAACCCCAAACAATGAGAAAAAAGCTTCAGGCACACAAGACCATTTTAATAATTATACCAACATTATTTCTCTTTTACATCTTCCAAGAATAAAGCAGTGGGATGACTTATCCTGCCAATAAAGATGAATAAAATTGATCAAGAGACAGAGAATTTAATGAAGAATTGAATACAGCGAAATCTCCAGCAGGTAGGACATGCAGTTAAATAAATGAAGGAACAATTAAGTGCCTTTTTGAAGACCAAAGGATAACATGACATGAGACTCTAGCTGGGATCTGCCAACACCATGGAAAAATTATTCCTGACAAAAACTGAACAGACAGCAGGGAAGGGAGGGAGACAAAGAAAACTGCTAAGAACAGACTGCCTGATGGCAGCTCTCCATTTCTCTGATTTTAAATGCAGAGCAATGTCTGCTTTATGATTCCAATGAATTACCTACTATTATCGAAATGTTTTCCCACAGCATGCTATGGAACTTCTCATGATCACTGTATTTACACAGAAGTTAAACATTTTGCATTACAGCTTTTTATTTGGTCATTTTAGAGTATTGTATCTCTTTATTCATTGCACTTCCATGCATTATTTCATTTTTACTTTTGCAAAAAGTGTCATCAAACTGTATAAAGTTGTAGCTGCCTTTCTCTCCTTAAACAAAATGCACACATGAATTAGATATGAAAGTTCTGTCAAGCCAACAAGACAACCTTTTTCTCTTACTCTCTGATCCCTTCCAGTCATCAAGAAGCACTTCATAAAGCAGTAATTAGGTAAGGAGATTAGCAATGCCCAGCTACCAGAGAGAAAAGTGGGAATTCAACTGCATTTGAAAAACTGGGACTCTACACTCTTCTGTTTATCTGAAATCTGTACTTGCTAAGTTAGAGCACCCTGAGTCAGTGCATACAACTTTAGGGAATTCAAGGGAAATTGTGACAATTAAACCAGACAAACCAGAACTCTGTTCCATATAAGCACCTTAACTACAGAGTTGTGAAGGAACAAGACTCTGCCACCTGCACATCTACTTACAGCTCTCTCACATGAGTCCTACCAGTCAGTACAATTACTGCTTCTATAACCAGAATTACACTGTGACCCAGAATGAAGTACTGATGTCCCCATGTCAACTCAAAAACTGACATTAAGGCTGCTAATGTAAGCAAGTTTGCAATTTATGAGAAACATATAGAGGAAATACTAAGAGACTTTAATTTGCTTCTGGAAAGATATGCTGTTACAGGTGACAGGCAGAAATACAGCAGATATGAAACCCAAAACAGACATGCATCGAGGCTGCGGTTTTAGTTAGTCTAATGTTTTGTGATAGCCAGGCTGCATTCCTCCCAGTAGAGTCTATTAATACCCTATGGAATTATTCATACCCTACACATGCAGAAGGCTGCACACTTGACTATGGGAAATTCTCCTTTTTCAGCTGTTAAAAATAGCCAATGTAAAAAACCTTTTATCAATAGGACCACAAGGGTCAGAAATCTTTGTGCCAAAGGCAGATCATTTTGGCTTCTAGAAAATCCAGCAGGTTTTTATCCTGACATTTGTTAATTCCCTGCACAAGAAGGGAAAAAGAAGTTTGCTGTATTTTAAAGAAGATATTTACTGTACAACAACAGCATCCTTTCTGCAGCCTTACCTGGCAGATGTCATATTTTCCTTTTCTATGTTCACATACACAATTAATTTCACAGGCACTGAAATGCCTGTTGTAACAAAATAACAATAAAGCATTGAAATTAATCTAAGGTTTGCAGGATAGCCATGCAGATCTGAAAAATTCATACAAATAATTATGGTATGGATGGATTTCTTTTTTTTATGGGATTCCCTAGTTATTGGAAAATATTAGGAACAGTCTAATTATTCGACTACACCTAGAAAGGGAGTACACAGCCATTTTGAAACCAAATATTTTCCCAGAGAAAACTGCAAGACAGAAGGAAGGAAGAAAAATGAAGAAATGCTGCCTTATAGATAAGGGGTGATTTCTTGACAAAATAAGATCATTAATATATTTTTTTTTTGATCCAACAACTATTTCAACAATCTTGTACCTCTTACTCGATGGAACAGTAAAGGATTTAATATAGTTGCAATATAAATTTTAAATTTTGTAAAAAAATTGTCCCAGTCTTTAGGTACATAATGATTTTAAACAACACAAACCAAAATGACATCAAATTAAAAAAAACCCACAAAACACACTTACCTGATGCGATGTCTATCCGGTTCTTCTTCACTTGGGAGACGTTGATATGGACACTGACTTTGCCCTCATTTATGTCAATCTCAACATTGCCCAGGTCATCTGAGAAGTGGCTGAAGAGAAGAAGTCCATTTGGGTTCCAGGTCCGGAAGAGGAAGCTGACTGAAAACACATCTTGGCTTGGACGACCAGGAACCTCAAGGTAACTGGTGGCATTGAAAAAGACAGGCACTGTGTGTGGCTCCACACAAGAGAAACTTAAATTTCCCTAAGTAAAACACAAAAAAGAAAAAAAAGAAAAAAAGCAAAATGGTAAGATTTCACTAAATTCATAGCTACCTCTAGAAAAGTATTCTAGATTTCATTCAACTTAGAGACTTCTGTGATCAATGCACACTGCATCTAAGGATGTGCCATTAATGTTATCTTTATTGTTGCTACTATAATAGTTGCTGATTTTTCTGGTTTTTTTTTTTTTTTTCTAGCAGTGGCCCCATTGTATTTTGTACTGTACTGGACAATCACAAGAAACTAGGCAGCTGGCCCTGAAGAGTTGTAGTCTCTCAAGCTTAGATGAAAGCATTATTATTTCTAGTTAACAGATAAAGAAATTAATCACAGATAAACTTGGGCTTGTCTGTGGTCCCCATAGAAACCTATAACAGAACAGCATACAAATTGAGTGCAGATTTCCAAATACCCTGATATCAGTGTGTCAATCAATACAATGCATGATGTTCCAAAATAACGATGTATAATATCTGAGCAGTCAGCCTCTCTGTTATGCTTTCAGCTACATGATACTACATATGCTAATATTTCAATTCGTGACGCAGAAGGATTTGGAGTAGCTGATCATGGACAACACCAATATATTTGGATAGTAAATAATTTTCACTGTAAAGGAAACTGCAGTTTCTACTCTGTAAAATATTATTCTTCAGGAAATTGAAAAAAGATCCAGTCAACTGTTGATCTACAAGCTTTAAAATGTATCTGTAAACAAGACCAGAATTAGAGACACGAATTTTTCTCTCTGATTCTCATGTAATTTCTCACAATAAAAGACCAAAATTGCAGGATATTGCCATTTGGTAATATTTGTAGGGTATTACCTTTTTTTTCCTTAAAAATCATACTTTGTAATAATCTCTGTCCTCAATTAATTTATTACTGCATAAATGGAAATACAACAGGAAAACTTCCTCTGCTGAAGAATTCCCACAATATGTGGCAAAGTGGATCCTGTCCTATGGTTAGGCTTTCTCATGCACTGTTGCAGGTGGAAATTATGTGGCAATTTTTTTCTATTTGGGAAGAAATAATTTTCTCTGATCCAGTACAGAAATTGTTACTAAAAATCAAGATAGCAATTCCTCTGATATTTATTTTTACATTTAAAATGAAAATAAGACGTGAAAAACATTTTTGTAGCTACACAGGTGTTTAGAGATGTGGTCTACCCAAGCAGTGTTGAGAATCCCAGTAAAAGTCATCATCTTTTTTTGCATAATTGTTTTTAAATTCTATATTCCTGACTTCCTGATCTACACTTTTATGTCACATTTTTGTATTCATAGTGTATAAATGCATCTGACAGTTCATCTTGAGGGAAAGTAGAGAATTTGGAAGCAAGATAGGAACTTAGTGTCTGAAAATGCGTGTCAGGAAAGACCTAAGTAAATTTTTTAAAAAGTAATTATATTCAGTTGGAGATGACGGATGACATCAATAAGCAAGTTTTAGCACTCATTTTCCAATGTCCAGACCCATCACTTTTTAAAAGAACATCACTTCAGAGAACAGCTTATGTGTATAACAGCAAGATACAACTGGTCTGGCAGACTCAGCTTCCTATAATGCATTTCCATGTAAAAAAACCCAAATGAGTGAAAATAATATTTTCTTGACCACTAGGATAAATACTTTGATTATTTTGCATAGAAACTTCTTTTTTTCTGCCGAACAGCAGAAACTGTACAGTCTACCTCTAAAGGCCAGTAGAATTAGTAGTAACTATAAAGTTGGCAGCCTCCATGATCAATTAAGGAACATTGATATTTCCAGTAATCTGGGATTAGAGATTCATTTAAAGTGATCTCCTAGATTTGTTCTTAAATTTTATGATAAAATCTCAGCATTAAAAGTCACATTCTTTTCCTGTGCCCAAGTTCCATGGACTAAAAAAAAAAAGGCAAATACAAGGGACTAGGAAAAAACTAGCTGACACAACTAAAGATAACTTTTAGATAACTACGTGATAAGAGAAATTACAGCTACTTTATGAGTAAAGATTTCCCTGCTAAGCTACTTGTCAATTCTGGGATGGTCTTTTGTGGTTTTGCTTTTTGTTTTGTTTTCTTTGAGGTGGTGAGGTTTAGAAGTTGCCTGGAGATTTTTAATTTTACACTTTTAACCAGCGAGACATAAAATCAAAATAGTGATCTCATTTGTCTGAGTTGTTTTAATCTAAACCTTTCCAAGTTTGTTACAGAATATTTTTGCTTAAACCATAAATTTTACATACAGTAAAAAAAAAGTGGAGAGTGTCTGAAATACTCTCTGTAAGCCTTGGCTGTCATTCTCAGTGTAATTGTCACCTTGTGCATAGACACAACTTCTTTTACATAGTTAAGGCAGTCCTACATAAACACAGAAGGCTACATCATGTTTTGAGAGATGTCATTTCACAGTTCAATCACAGATCTCAAATAAGAAGCGCTCAGAGAGCATTCTGTTAGACTTTTTAAGAGTTCCTTTTGCTGCCTTGTAACCAAGAGGACCTTGTAACCTTGTTACAAGAAGGCTTTTATATCCAAATGACACTCTCCTGTCATCCTGATGTTTTGGATACTTGCATGCATAACACCTATTAATGTTAATGGCACGGAATGCATTCAAATCCTTTTTCACATCAGTGAATGCATTTCCCATGAAAAGCCTAGCTGCATTAAACATTTCTTGAGGAAGTAACACATAGTTCTAATTTCCCTGCTAGTTAGCATTTTCCCTACTGAGTTATTTAGATTAATATGAACTGGATTATTGATCCCTTCTATGACTCTAGTTCACAAAATGACTCCTCTTTTAAGTACAGCCCATCTTATATAGGTTGCTCATTGGTTCTAGATCAAGGTTTCGAGTTAATCTGCAGCTTGTCTCTGTAATAGCCTCTTCATTTTTCAAAGAGAATGAGTTCATTTTCTGTAGATTCAGAGTGACTTGCTGAATAGTTTTCTGGGCAATGACATCTGGAAGTCAAATATATACTCTTGGTCATACTCAAATATGAAACTCTTGGTCTTATTAGAGACTTTTTCATACTACATTGGCAGGGAAAAGGTAAAAAAACCTTAATTTGTGCAGCTTGAGCTGTGCACCGTGATCTTTCATCTATATTGCAAATTAGATTCATGTTTGCTTATAAATCAATTTTGCCTATCCACATTCAAATATAATCCCTTGTGTAAAATACTACAGTAAATACCTTTCCCAATTAAAAGACCTACTGGCTGAATAGGAAGCTCCCAGAAGACAGGTAATAAGTTTATTAAGACTATACTAACTGCTAAATCAGGATGGATCATGTAGTATGAGCAATGCACTATACACTAATGCCATCTTAAATATCACAAAAGAATCAAAATAACTTTTCCCCTTTACCTTCTGAATCTAAATCAAATATTTACTAAAGTCAGCATTGGACTTTATTTAAATTTAAAATACTTCTAATTTGTCTTTTTATCCTTACTCTTCAACAAAGCAAAAGGTGCTTGATGATGCTTTTCTGTTCATAAAATGTATGTATATGAGACACTTTTTTTAAAAAAAATTAATTTTGTTCAGAAAAAATCAAGATCATCATCTTTTTATCATCTCTGATTTTCTGGGCCTTCTCATTTTTTATAATCAGTTTGTCAAGTCCCTTTCAATGTGTGACTTCTGAAATTCAACTGCCTTCATCTAGGAATATTATTTTCTTTTTTTCACACCCCTTTAAAATCCTTCTTTTATCCTGAATTTATCCTTTCTTTGTAATACTTCTCATGACCAGACTGATTACTTTGCTTGTATTCAGTCACATTATATTGTGTCATGCCTTTTAAAGGGAAGGTGTGTCTCCTGTTATGTGCTTGTAACACAATCTCCTACAATGGAGCTTTGATCCCTGTTGGATTGCTTGGATCCCTGTTGGAGTGCCATCATCATAAACATGCTTAACAACAACAATAAGTTCAAGAAAGTCTATTTCTCTTGCTAAATCAGGCTAAAAACTAGGAGAAAAATGTTTTTGTAAAAAACATAAAAATCCATGTTGATTTAATTAGAATAAAATTGATTTTGCCTTTGAAGAGCTGAAGCAATTTAAGTATTTCTACTGAAAACAAAGGTTGCTTCTATTTTTCTAGTCATTCTCAGAATTGGAAATCAACAGAAGCCTCAAATTAAACTGGCATATCACCTCTTGATGTGGCACTAATACTGCCAGAGCTGCTTGTGTGGATTTTATTTCCATGTTATGGGTAACAGAATTTTAAAAGTAAAGAACCGAACAAAGAGAGAAACAATCCAAAATATGATTTTTCAGAGACTTTACATGTCTGCTAGCTATGTCGCACTTTTGAGATGCTCAGACTTTAAAGAACAGGATTTGCCTCATAGGAACTTCTTAGGCAACATTTCTGTTCAGAAAGAGGCTTTAAGAATATGTCCTACTAACTTTGAGGTGGACTTGATTGAGCAGAATGGAAAGATTGCTCCTGCGCAAAGATTCTTTTTAAATTCAGGCATTAATCTTTCAAAATCATGCTTACATTAAAGCTGAAAATGCCCTGCAGAAAGGAAATCTCTTGTAATTATGAAAAAAATATAAAAAAGGTTAAAGTTTTAGGAGTTCATTAGATTGGGTGAAAGAATTTTAAAACTGGAATCTTAATGAAAGGAATATATATATTGTATTCTTTGTCTTTGACAATACTGATGAAATTTATGTATAGAAAAGGTTATAGATGTCAGGCTGCATTACTGGGTTTGTACAGGCAAACATCACACACTCATCATTATCCTTTGGATTTCCTTGACCATTTAATCATACAATGACATGAAGCTTCAGTTTTACTATCCAGGGATAATCAATCCTTTGCATGGCATCATCACTGCATTTGCATATCTTAACAATTTATTACATAAAGGATAACGAAATTGTGTAAACCTCCATACGTTATCAGGAGTTTGTGAAGTGTGTAAGCTTGTACAGAAGAAAGCCTTGAAAAGTTATTCAAACCATCTCAAACTCATGGCAATAATACATTTATTTCTTACCTACATGCCTCTATATGCCAGCAAGCATTTTCAGAAACACTTAGAACTTAAAAACCAGAGAAATTAAAGTACATTCTTTCTTAATCACCCTGCCCATAAAGCCACAAGTCTGCATATGAAAGCAACTATGAACACTTAAGCTGCTGCAAAAATAGAGTAAAATGCTAATAACCTCTGTAATGTTAATAAGCAAATAATGATTTTCAAGTATAATATCTTGAGGTTTTCAGACGGATCAGAAAAGACTGTACAAGCATTCTCATCCAAAGACTTTTGCACTAAAGCCATCCAACTAGCTCAGCAGGGATGGAATATTATCAGGATTTAAAAGCCACAAGAAAGCTGCAATTCATTTAACAATAAATCTTGTCTGCACTGGTTTTGGACTACTATTATTTGAGAAGAAAGGGAAAAAGCACTTACTGCTTCAGTTGATTTTCTTTAAAAAAACAAAAAAAAAACTATCTGACTTACACTAAAGGTTAATTTTTGAAATATGAAACAAGACTCTAGAAATAAAATGTTCATACATGATAATATTTTTTTAAAGTCACAAATGTACATACAATAAAATCTTTGGATTTGTGGTAAAATTTGCTTTGTGTTTTATATTATTGCAGTATATCACAAAAATATCAGCTACACAACCACAAAAACCTTCTAGTCTTCTTTAGAAGTAGAAACAGAAGGGTAGATGACCATGAAATTATGATCTTACCACATTTGAAGGTTCCAATTTCTTCCTCCTGGCAAGGTCGGTGATATTATTGCCATTGTAGTTGATGCTCTCCATGCAGCCTTTGAAATTTTTCCTACTGTTAGAACTTGGCTTGCCAGAAAAAGGCATGCCTCCAAAGGTTATCTTAAATGAAACAGAAAAATGGTAGATAGTTACTGGCAGGCAAAGACTGTTAAAGAATTTTGTTGTACACATTGCTTTCTTTGAACACTCAAGCATGGCAAAGTAGAGAGCTGGCAGCACTCTTTACAGAAAAAGGATGCATCAAAATAAATACTGCAAAAGCAGAAATAAGAATTGTAATTAATTTAAATTATTTATGGTAGCCAAACCCAAGTATTATTCCAATTGTCCAAACAGTGAACAGACACACATCACATGTGAACAGTTCTGATTGATATTGGAAAATAAGCATTTCAAACAAGGACAGGGGGACAAATTTCCATCACAGTATTTTTCTAAAAAAGTAGACATGAAATTAGCCAGATAATCTGATTCAAATCATTCACTCAGCTCTAACTGTGTGCCAGAGCTCAGACTACAGCACAGCAGTGGTAGGCTCCAATGTGGCATGTAATTCTTCTGTAATGCTCATATGTCTACTTCACCCAGAAGAATTTACAGAGTCACACGGCTAAAGATGCAATCCCCTGGTAGACAGAAGGACCTTTCACTACCAAGAACATGCTTTTGTCATGTAGTTATAGTTAATGAGGAGTTTCCCCTTGATTTATCAGGTCAAATTATCTCCTTAGAGAAGATCAAGACAACCCCTGCAAGGAGTCAGTCATCAAACTCAAATAGGAATTGGTTTTTGTCTTACAGCTGAACTTCATTACCTTGGCTAATTGATTCTGGGTTATCCATAATCTATAGTTCTAAAAACCTAGAAACCCAAATATTTACAAACGAAAAGTGTTTATCTTCAATGAGTGACATCGCTGTCACTCCATAGAGATGATACAGGTCTCTGCCACATAATGGTCTTTATGGAAATGATAAGAAGTGTATAATGTTACATGTTTTCATTAATATTTTGCAGCTCAAATGCCAAGAATAAGGGTCTCATGAGATTAGTCCCTGCAATCAGTGTTAGGTAATTATATCCATTAGATGATGGCGTAAATAGTAATAACAACTTGTTTTCCTGCCTCACAAATGTTCAGAAAAATAGCAATTTGTAGTCTAGTGCTAAGATTTGGCAGAATTAAGCTTTTAACCATTATTCATTGTCCATTCCATTTGTTATTACCAACAGAAGGAAAACAGAGGTCTAGGCTGACATTTTCAGTTTTAAATGCATGTGAGATATCAGTTTCTATCCCAAAGAGGAAGCTTCCACTTGGCATATACAAAGAGCTAAAAATATACAGCTGAAATCTAAAACCTTTATAAACCACAAACACCAGCTTTTGGTGTGTACAAGTCTTGTGGGGACATCCTCAGGTATTGTAAATTGACATGACTTGACTTTAGAGAAGATACAACTCTTCATATGGAGAATGGAACTGTAATAGTTAATTAGTTGTCAAATATTTTATGCATGTGTTTGGATTAAATGAAATATAACAAATAAAAAAGAAAGTATTTTGAAGAAAAGAAGAAAAAGCAAAAAACATATAATGTGTCAGTGAGTTAAGAGCAACTTACAAGACTATTTTTGATCTCAAAAATGCAATCAGAACTAATATTTTTTCCCTTTTTTTGTGTTTACCTAACTTTTCTGAAAGAGATTAACCTAGAAACTACTTTGTCTATGAAAAATAGTTTTGGTTCTTTTGGCTTTATTCCTTGTTAATCCCAAAGACAACACCTTTAAATTTAGTCTGTGGTGTCCAGCTCCAAAATCAGTGAGATAGCAGTGAGGAAAGGAAGGAGATTTATTCTCTTGAGTTTATATGAACTACAGACACACATACACACGCACGCTTGAAGAAGTTCAATTAAACACAAGGAGATCCATGTATGTGGAAAATGAAATGTATCTTTGAGAACTGATAGTGAGGTCTCTTTATGCAGAGAGGATGGGAAAGTGAATGCACTGAATTCAGCTCTTAATGGGGATACATTTTTTTATATGCAATATGTTTGTTATGTAAATATTTTATATATGTATGTATACATATATACACACATGTGCACAAATTGCACAACCGTGGCTTATGGCATTCAGCCTTTTTCTCATTCACTTAAAAGCCTGTAATAAAATCTATTTATATGAGTTTTAAGTAGCTCAGTTCAGATCTTCAGTGCTCAATAATTAATAGGGGTACAGGAAAATTTGCTTGTTATTTTCTTATTAGAGTTACAGTAAATAATGTATCCACAAACATTTTTCGGAATGTAATCAAATATTTGACTCAGAAACATTTATAATTACTTTTTTCAAAATTTCATATATTCTTGGTCAAAAGTAAAAATAAAAACCCCACAAGTTGGAAAAATTAAAAAACACAGTTGGTAAAAATAAAAAAACCCACAAGTTATTTCAAATTTTTTCCATTACATCATTTATATTCACTCTTACATCTTAAAAACTTTTAAGGGTGGAAATTACATATCTGGTGCAGTCAACCAAATTAATTCTCATCAGAAACAGTAAAGAGTGTAAGAAGATATTATACAAAGATTGCAATAACTAATGTGTTGAACTTCATGTACAGATTAGAGGAGCTCAACAAGTTCATAATAGCTGAAGCTGTAGTCTAATCAAACAATAAATCCACATTTAATTACTACCAGCACTTGTCTGCATTAACCTGATTGATTAAACAAGTTTTCTTACAACTTTCCTAACTCCTCATTGCTTCTATCACAAATGAAGTTACTGATGCCATATTTGTGAAAATACAAGGAAGTATCTACCTACCTAAGACAGGGCAGATCAAGATCTGTATTAATAAAAAGGTTCTAACCTGCTTCCTTTGCTAAAAAATAAACACTAACTCCTCAGATTAAGGCTTTCTGATTCAAGAGCAAAATTATCACCTGAGCGAAACAACAGATTGCACTATACTTTTTAAAATATACTTCCTGCTTAGAGCAGCTGCTTTTAGAGATTTTTAAAATCATGTATGCCTATCTTGCTGAATAACACATCTCCCACTTTAAAACAAAGGGCCGAGATGATTGTTACACCAGATGGGACTTGGTAGGCTAATTAAGAGAAACATAATTTACAATTAAAAGAGAACACTCTTGGAAACAAAGTTTCAGGAAATGTAAAGGAATAAGTAATCAAAACAAATGTATGAAAAATTAAGAAAACAAATTATGCTAGCTTTCTTATTGGACTTCATAAAAGCAATTTGAATGAGAAGAAAGAAGTTTCACTGTCTACCTCATAGTCCAGGTCCAGATAATCAAATTCTCCATTTGTTCTGAAGTGCTGCATGTGTCTGTCGAGGGTGAGATTGATGTTCCTCCCGTGGCGCTCTATGATGATGGAGTGCCAGTGGTGATCATCCAAGAGGCTGCCTGTTGTCACAGATGTGTGGCCAAAAATAGAGCCAAGCTGGTTGCTGCCTGAGGACAGAAACAATAGCATTTCTCACCTCATACAACTGGGCAAACATTTTCCTCTTTCTTTGTCGATGCTTCACCCGAATCATACCAGATGTGCAATTAACTGGAAGAAGTCAGTGTGCTATGAAGTTGGGATCTGCCCAGTGGATGGCTGCTGCCACCAATACAAAACAGCAAGCATCTGATCACTGAATTGTCTAAATATATGTATAAATTCATAGCAGCAGTTATTTGTAAATTAACCTGAGAAGCAATACCGATTTCCAGTTGTAAAGATGTTTTCATCAAGTGTTTTCTGCTTTTGCTCCTACTCCACAGGAAAGAAATCTGTCACCTCTGGGCCAGATCCTGAGCTGCATTGGAACTGTACTGATTTATGAATGTTGGGGAGGACATGGAGTCTGATAACAGCAAAAACAGCCAAAATCTTACTCTTGAGTTCTATGCTTTGTGGCCTTTACCAGTATCATTATACCAGCAAGCAAGAGGGGAAAAGGCTCAGTGCAGACTGTGCTAACAACAGCAAAAAACATCTTCTGTTAATACAGCTTATTTTGCTATGTTATCCTGAAGCAATCTTCCTATTCTGGAAGTCAAACTACTAGCAAGAGTACAGTTTTGCAATTCTCTGCTGTGTTATCCTGGGGGTTTTGCCAGTGTAGCTGTGCTAGTCAGAGATCACATCTCATTGCCATCTGACTGACATAGCTAAGCCAGCAAAGGTTGATAGCATGGATCCCAACTGAAGCAGCAAATGACTAATTCAGCAGTAAGTGTAAAAAATTGCTGCACTGCTCAATAACTCAATGCAATCTTCCATGTTCTGAATACATGAGGACTTGAAGCATTTCTGAGGCTGAGAATTTCTTACCCTTAAGAATGCCTGCAACTGAGACATTAAAGTTTGTGCGGGCTGAAAACACATTCTGGCAAATCCCATTTCCATGGCTTAAGACATTACTTCCTACAAATGACTACCCTGCCCTTATGCTGAAGGCCAATGGTCCTGTTGGTTAAAAAATAAAATAGAATTGCATGCGTGTCATTGAGCCTCAGTTTCTTCAATGCAAACTCAAACACAGTGCAAAGTGAAACCTAAATTCACTTCTGTCTCCCCATCCTTTCCCAGTCCCTGGTGTTTGAAACTGTCACTGGATCCCACCAGGCAAGATGAGCATGCTTTTCTACTGTGTCTGATGCAAAGACAATACTCTCAGGCAGAGGAATAATAACACCATAAAACATTACATCTGTTTATTAAGTGTGTGTCACAGGGCCCAGTCCCATTTATCAGCCTAATGATTTAAGAGCATCCTCACCAAAATTATATGTGGAAATTATAGTAGCTTATAAAGATAGTTTGTGCTGAAGATTATAGAGGAACAGGAAATGAAAGGGTTACTACTGCAATTAAAATTCTTAAAAATAGGTAACTGCTTTAGTTATCTCATCATCTGTTCATGTTGATTGTTAGAAAAATAACAGTAGAAAATGCTAGTGGAAATAAGTATTATTCAATGTAAATAACAAATGGAACGATTTACTCTTCATGTGTCTATAAGAGAACTAAGGAAAATTGCATGAAATCTTTTTCTAAGGTTCTTTTGTTTGAATGGAAAAATACCTCAAACCAGATAAGTATGGGTCTTTTTCATAATAAATGTACTTTATAAATCCAGTCACTTATAGGCCTGTAGTCCTCTACTGGGAGGACTGGAACTAGAGTAATGTGTACAGGATTTCATCATAAGATTGCCTGATTAAACAATCTATTTCTTTTCCTTTCCTAGCCCTCCTCAGACTCTAGGAAAGTTGCTGCTGCCAACTTCACGTAGCCTGTAGCTTAGTAGACTGATATTATTTTTTTTCTGCAAGGTTCCTTAGTGTGACCTTTATTCCTTCAGAAGTGACAACAGTGTCCTTCCCTCACACAAAGCCGTGGCTGAGACCAAATATAATTCTGGAAAACTATTTTTTTTCTTTTTGTTTGAAGTAATGACAATATATTGCTGATCTTGCTTTCCTGTATGATCTTCTTTTCAGAGTATCTCACACAGAGCAAAAGGGACAGGATGGAACTAAACATACACACACACACTCCCCCAACATACAAGAAGGGAATTAAAATTTTCAACAAATTGTTTGATTAAATGATGCAGCTTACCAAATTACTGTGGGAAAGAGACCTAAAATTTCTGTGGCAGAGCTAAAAAACTACTAGAAAACTAAACAATCAAAACATACCTAAATTTAAATTTAGAACAAGTTTGGCTTTCTTCAGTTCCAAGGTGATATAATCTCCTTGCTGTCCTTCTCCGTGGAAGATTACACCTTCGCTTTCAGAGGTCTTAAATTTCAGAGAGATGACATCTTTCAGTGTTTTCATTTTCTTGTTCCTGAATCTGTATGGTAACACTACATGGCCATCAAAATTGATAACATCAGCCCCTAAAGAAAAAAGAAAATAAAATCATTGATGAGCAGTTATACATTTCTATGGCCACTGGAAAAACAGACATCCCATATGCAGATTGTACCTTAACAGAATAAAAAACGTGCAAATATGAATACATTGTAAATGCATTTTCTTTTGTCCACAATTTATTGCCATAAAAAGTAAGAAGCAGGCAGAATATAAATTTAATCCACATAAATTAAAAATAGAAACAAATCAGATTTGGGAGGAAAAATGCTACAACTGTACTCAATGACTTTCAGTTTCTCTCAAATAGAGTTGCTGCCATGTACATTTACCTAATTATAGCTCAAAATGAAAGGTAAACATCTGACTGGTCATTAATAAATCATTTAATAGGTCTTTAAAATTCACTATAGGTATCTGCAAGGACTGTAAACAATAAAACATGAGCCCAGAGTAACTGCTTGGTAGTTTTAAACTTTATATAAAACAGACATAAACCTTGTATATTTAATGAAATGGCCAGTAAGTTATGACCTCAACTAATTTTGAAAAGAAAAAAAAAACCTCTGTCATTTGAAGCATTTTTTTTCATGTTTGGTTTTGTTCAAAATACGTGGAAACTGAGGGATGCAAGCATTTAAAGTCAATCCAATATTCATATATATATATATATATATGTATGTATGTATTGCAAAATAACACTTCAAAATTTTATTTTTTCTTATCTTCATGATGCAATCTCTACTTTAAAGAATGAACACAAATTTTCCACAATTTTCTGGATGCTAGATCCCAGTAAAAATAGCTGCAGAACTGGATTCCATTCAACAGATGCTTTTATGCTGAATATTGAATCTCGTCACTTAAGGGAAGTTCTGTAAAAGATTTCAAACAGATATTTATCTCTAAAAATTTACACATATTTAAAAAATCCCCTTTATAAATTGCTAATAATCCAATCACCAGTATCTTAGCAACTATTTGTACGAACATTTCATCCTCACTGTTGACAACTAACAATTTGAATAGTTGTTAAGTAAAATTCTTCCTGTTTTTCAAAAGCACTTATACTCCTGATTGACAGACCATATTCGTTCATGCTCTGAATGGAAAGAAGGATGGCATTTTATCATCTATTCTTCAACCACATCTAATTTTTGCCTTCTTCTGTGGTCTGCTCTTCAGTGACTCCTTGCAACTTTTTAAAATTCCTAACTTGTTTTTGTTATTATTATGGGAATTAATTTAAAACTTCCACCCTCTCTCTAAAACACAGAGACAAACACATTTCTGTTGTGTAATTAACACAGAAGCCTGTTTCAAAACTCCATTAAAACACTATGCCTAACTGCATATATTTCAATTTGAATTTACATGGCCAAGTCTTCCTAAATTTGCAAAGACTTCTGAAGAATTCATAAATTGTGATCCCCTTATTGTTTATGCCAACTAAATTGTGAAGAATTTTATTCAGTACATAAAATACGAGCCTTAGAAATGACAGTGATATCCCATTATCATCACCGTACATCTCATTTTTGTCAGAATTCAGCACTATATATTAGAAATATCACTTTTCTTTATGAAACACCTCTTAAATTGCAAATTTTAGTAATAGATATGCATTAAGCTTTAAGTACAACTAGACCTCTCAGCTTGATCTGGTTCTTCCAAATGACAAATTCCAACCGTGGGAGTCAGCTCTAAGAAAAATATCAAAATGGTATGTTGTATTTGTTGTGTAATAAATCCATTTAGACGTTACCAGCATGAAAGAGGGCACATTTACTTAGGCATAGATGAAGAAGCATTCAGAAGCAACAAATTGAATTTCAGAAGTGGGGTTATCATGGCACGAGTAAATCCATTACTTCTGGAATGATTACTTTTTTTAAGAAACAAAGTAAATCGTTAGAAAAATAATGTAACAAAGATTATATGAACCAGTTGGTTTTGTTTGCCTTCCAAGCTGTCAAGAGATCTGAAAAATTAATTCTTGAGATTTTTGTGCGTAGTTTATGGGAAAAAAAACAAAAGCAACTTTTAGAAAAACATGAAATCTGTTTATAGAAAAAAAATGCAGTATGAAAGTCACCCTTTTATCACAAAAATCTTACCTTTATGTAAAGTAAATTTGCTATAGAGATCCTGCTCTTTTGAATCTACATACAACTGCCTGGCACAAGTGTTGAATAATATAAAAGAAAATTGATGGATATTACACCTTAAGTAACCTTTATACTGAATATACATCATAAAAAGATGATTCCACATGCAATGTCTGAGACTGTCTTCCATAAAATTTCTCAAATTTACTTTCTGATGGTTACAGAAACTTCTGTATGGGGAATATCAGTTTTCCCCTAAGGCCAGGTGGTACCACTTTGTAACATCTGAAAAAGTTGGTTTAACAGTCAGGGATCTGACCCAGGGCTGGTCAGGACCACGCAGTTTTGTGGATTTACAAGACGTCCATGACAAGGCAAGTATCCCTTCTGTTCCTACATCATTGTTACACTTCCATAGGTGTACTCATTTTGTGAAGAAAATTTATATTGCACACTGTAACAAAGCCAAGTAAAAAGGCCACATTTTTCCAGAATCTGTCCCTGAATTTCCATGTTTTGAAAATAATTCAATCAAAAAAAGAAGCTGCAGTAATCTTTGATAAAGCTGATTTTTTTTAGGCATGGCTGTACTGTCAGCATGGGTCTGAATGATGATTCAATCACCTGAACATTACACAGCAATTATGTTTAAGAGTATGTAGACTGTAGTAATGACTTGTGTTCTTTCTATGATGGCACTCAGATATTTAATATCATGATAATTACGATAGTGCAGAATGCTGCTCAGACAGTAAACCATATAATTCCTATAATTGCAGTGCAAATATATAATTTTTCTCCTACTTAGCCACTCATCTATCAGCATTAGTAGGAAAAAGACGTAAGCCATCACATGAGGTGATGCTCACTGATCACTGCTGTGGTCGGTGACTGTTGTCAGAGGCTACTGCTGCAATGGAGAAAAACTTCATAAGAAAAGATAAAGTTTAAAAAAGAGAGAGAAAGAGAAGAAAGAAGAAGAAAATGAAGAAAGAAGGGGGAAAGAAAACCTGAGAATTTTTTTTAATTACATGGAAATAGGAAGTACAAATCTGATTACTTGCAATTTGATTTCTGCCCGACTGGATTTCCTATTATATAGATAGATTGGAAAACAGTGTTAAAACAGTAAAAATAAAATACCACTTTCCTTTAGCTAGGTAGATGTGTTAGGCCTTATCACAGTAAATGCTTGAGACCACATTAAAGTCGTTTTATTAGTTAATGCATCATCAATTTTCCTCTAAAAATATTACAGAAAGCCTTGCAAAGATTAACAGGATATTGGGTTACGAATGTGGCCCTATTCCCAAATCTCCAAGGAAGATAAATCCCCAGCCACAGGTCTTCCTACCTATGCTTTTCTCCTGTACTTTTGGCTACATGTAGGATTTGGCAAAATTTGATCAGGGCATCACATCTATTTGATGGTATTTTATTTGATACTCCAAAACGATTTATCAACTAATTACAAGGAAAAAGCCCCCAAATCAGACTCAAGCTCCAGAGCTTCTCTATTTACTCCATTTCTTGTGAAAGAAACATAACTATCTTCAATGCCAGCACTTTAAGAATGAAGAAGTGCTCATTCACAAAGACTCATGAGATACTGAGACTTCTTCACAGCTACTTAGCTGCTTTGATCAAGGTACTGCCTGGAGTTACTAAAAAATCCCTGCTTTGTGACACAGTAAAATTACAGCGATCAAAACAAAGCAGAACAGCAAAGTGTTTTCCAGAAGAATGTTTACCATACCGTGAACAAAAACCATGGCAATATTTTTCTCCTCCTAAATTACAAATTTAACATGTATACATATTTTTAAATTGCTACTGATCTCTGAATGATTGACTCTTCAAAGCCTGTACAGAATATTTCAGTGGGATTAAAGATACAAAAGTTCTGTACCACTGACTGACAGCGACCTTCAGTGAAATTTTCCCACTCTGTTATCTCTCATCCATTTTTTCATCTGTTTTAATTGTCTGTTTAGACTAAATGAGCTTTAGGGAAAAGATCCTCACTTTTAGCATTCTTTTCTTACCCTACAGTTTGAACCCTACATCTGATGTGCCAGTAGTATAGTAATAGATGGTAATAACCATACACTGAGCATCTACCATCTAAAAATATCAGAGATAGATCAAAGCATCTTTGCCTGGCCCAAACTATTCCACATCTGTAGATTCATTTGTAGTTATTAGTCATGGGTTCTAAAATATCATTATGGGAAATATAAGCACATAAACAGTGTATTGGTAAATAGTTAAGCAGCAAAAAAATAATACTTTCTTCTAACAAAGCAAGGGATAAGGCTCAAAATTATACCAAGAATAAAGCCTCATTTTGTTAATATTCACAACAAAATTACATATACAGAAATTTCTTCAGAAAATCCTAATCCTAATCTGCTTTTTCAGGAGTTCCATATGCTGTCAACATGATAGCGTGCTGAATTTGCCCCTGGGGTCTTTGCAGCTTGAGCCTCAGCAGAATTAAGTTCGCTGATCTCACGTTAGAGATGCACTGCTACACCTCATTTCACCAAAAAAAAAACCAAAACCAAAAAATAAAGCCATGGCCCAGCACAGCAGTCAAAAGGCCCAGCACAGCAGTCAAAAGATTACCTCCTCTTTTATGTTTTCTTACAGAGAGGCAGAGAGCCAAAGGTTCCGTGTTTGAGCACTGCCTTCAGGCACTACAGCCCAGCTGTAAGGACACGGGCAGCTCTGGCCTCAAGTCTGCTGCAGCCAAATAGGCACTGCCTCTGCTCCCTTTTTCAAAAGTCGAGGCACCTGCCACAAAGGAGCAAAAAACTAATACAGATACAGATGTATGTTGCATTTACAATAATGTGTACTTATTCATATTCTGGAAGCACATGGTGAAAGAAAATCAATCTTACGCTTCTCTTGCC